CAACGACCTGCGACCAACCTGCGACCTGCGACCTGCGACCTCGTTTCTCATGACACGTTCGAAACGCCCCGGGCGGTCCGGGGTGGTGCAGGTGGGCTGCTTGGCGTTACTCCTTTGCTGGAAGCTTTACATAGAAGGCTAAGGGTGATCTCACGTGGTGGCTGAAAGTTCATGTTGGTGAAATCTCTGAGGATTCCTTTTCATCTAGCATGATAGTTTTTGTGATCTCCAGCCCTACATGGGACCACGATAGCAGACAGCACCATTCGCCCTCCAAAAAGTCTCCGGAACTCTGGTCATCACAGTGAGGGTCACATGACATAGCTCTCTTGAAGGAGTGAACGATGCCAGTGTCTGTCTCCCAGATCTGTCGCCTCAAAATCCACGGTGTTGACCGCGGGGGTGAGTGTCCCCCGCGGTGACCACTCTTCACTCCCGGACGTCGAACAGCGGTTGGCATTCCGCGCTTGTTTCGCGAACCGTCGACCGAGAAGAGGGTACGGTGTGGAGCCCCAGTCCTACAAGAGGGGACGCTGTGATGGATCAAGGAATGCAAGTCCAGCTGCTGCCTGGGATCGGACAGGGTCGCGTTTTGGCACACTCCGTTTTGGATCCTTTTTTGGCTGAGCGGATGTGGGTTTTGGGGTCGCCAGTGAAGTTCGGCATTGGTGTGTGAACCGAAACATGAACACGTTGGCTATTGTGGACTGGAATTCCAGTTGAATGAACAGGATGCTGGCGAGATATGAGCGCCGACTTATTCTATTGCTGCGTTGTTGAGTTTAGATCCATACACGCCTCGACCAGGAATCCAAGAAAACCTCAGGAGCAACATGGCCTGGAACAGGGAAGACAGGAACCTCATATGGAGGGAACCCTCCGCAGAGAGGTGTTTAACGCCTTCAAACGTTCTGTACGGATAACCGGAGCAGCACTGAACCTTGGATTCAGCTATCTGCCCAAAAATTCAGCCACATCCAACCAACTTTTCAATTTCATGTGTCCAGAGTGCTCCCCGTGCTCAAGCAAAAGATCTCTAGACCCGTACCATGTCATGCGGAAGGAGACTGGTTGACTAACCGCTATTTGAAACAACGTACATCTTCCTTCCCAGTTGCTTGTCATCGGCCAACATCACTGCTTTCAGCTCGCAGGACCTCGCTGAGAAAGACTTCAACTCAGAAAAACATGCAACACACTCTCTCCAAACATCATGGATGTAGAAGCACTCGGTTTCTAAACAAAACATCGTTTTTCTGAGGGGCCAATATATCACATCCATGTTTGTTGGACAGAGTTAGTGGGTGGGCACACCCTCGAATCGTCTCGCTTCCCCAAATGAGCTCCAAAAGTTCACTCCCCAAGAATCGCAGGCCCCTCCTGAATTGAATGACCCTGGTATATTCACCCATGTTGAGGGGTTTTTGCATGACTTACAGTTCAGAAACCCAGCTCCAAATGCAAAGGTCGGGGGAAACCGGCTTTATAGTCCCGAGCTACCTAGACGAATAGGGCCTGATTTAAGGGTCTATGCCCTAAAGCTGGCCAGGGGCCCACATCCGGGGAGGGGTAAAGAAGAAGTAGTTGTTGTTGCTGTTGTTGGTGGTGTTCTTCTTGTTGCTGCTGCCGCCGCTGCTGCTGTTGTTGTTGCTGTTGTTGTTCTAGAAGTAGTGGTAAGTCCGCCGGCCTGCCGGCGTGTTTTGTGGATTGTCTTGGTTAGTATAGTTTGTCTTGGCTTCAGCTTAAGGTTTGTCTCTCCGCGCGGATTTTTCGACAGACTCATTTTTCTTCTTTTAGTGTTGAGGTGCTCGTACTTTTAGTAATGAAAATCATCTTCCCAACTCATTTTTCTTCTTTTAATGTTGAGGTGCTCGTACTTTTAGTAAAGAAAATCATCTTCCCAACTCATTTTTCTTCTTTTTCTCATGTTGAGGCGCTCCTACCCCCCCTCTCGCCTTGTCTTGTCGCCTTGTCTCGTCTCTTGTCTTCGCTTCTCTTCTCTTTTCGTTCTCGTTCTCCTTCTCTTCTCTTCCCCCTCTTCGTCTTTTTCAAGCAGGCCATGCATTGGCGCACAGTCGCGCGTGTAGAAAAACGTATAAAAACCTTGGTTTTTCCACGCGTTTTGCGGGAACTCGCTGCCAATTGGGTTCTATATCGCTTACACTGTCACGGCGTTATTCTAGGCAATGGCTCTTACACGACTTCGTTCTGACACCGCAACCTGTGCACCTTCCAAGTCGTGTCGCGCACAAGCCCGTTGCAACCATTTCCTCGCTACTTTTTTTCGCTTACATGTCGCTTTTGCAGAAGCTCTGTGTTACACACGCGCTCTCTGCAAGTACTGTTCGCTGCCCACTCGCTTTTACACCAGCGCAGCTTTTGTTTTTTGCCAGTTGCTCTCCACTTACATGGCTCTTACACTACTTCGTTTTGACGCCGCACCTCATTGACACAAACATCTCCAGCCAGCGTGCATGTTCCAAGTCCTGTCGCGCACAAACCCCTTGTTTTCACGCACTTTGATATCGTACACTCTGTTAGCTAACCTTTGCATAACCTGCACACAAAAAAACACAATAGCTACACACAGCTACACACGCCCGGGCCATGGCGACCAGCCGTGCGGGCTCGAGCTGATGGCCGGCGGCATGCCGAAGGCTGTAAATATATAAGTAGGTAGTAAGCGGTAAGTAGCAAGTAGGAATAGGTGGTAGTAGAAGTAGAAGTAGTACAAGTAGTAGTGGTGGTAGTAGTAGTAGCAGCAGTAGTAGTAGTAGAAGAAGTAGTAGTAGTCGTAGTCGTAGTCGTAGTAGTAGTTGTTGTTGTTGTGGTGGTGGTGGTGGTTGTTGTGGTCGTCGTTGTCGTCGTCGTAGTAGTAGTAGTGGTAGTAGTGGTAGTAGCAGTAGTAGCAGTTAGTAGTATGTGCACAAGTAGTAGCAGTAGTAGTAGCTTTACTTTTCTTCCACTCTGGTCTACCCGTGGTTTTCTAGAGCTGGGGTAAGCTGTCAGGAAGGGCCCATGCCTGAGCTGGTTGGCTACACTGAGAACAAGCTCCTTGAGGCCCTCATAGTCATCATCCTCAGCACCTTCTTGTTCCAAGGTGGATGCTATCTCAAAGGTTTAGTCTGTGGGATACATCTTTATGAAAAGATTTACGTAGTCAACCTCCTCATGAAGAGATATAGTCTGTAGTCTGTGGGCACTCTCGCATCAACAAATATCCATCCCAAAGCTTCCCCCAACAGCAGGGCCTTATCGAGTGCGTTCGGAAGGTTGCAAATGGTTGCGACCGGTTGTGGATGGTTGCAACGGTTGCGCCCAAGCAAGCAACATCACGCGCTGAACGCTCTACCCTCACATCAACATCAACTCATCATCACCATCATCATCGTCATCATAATCACTATTACTATCTTCATTTTGTTGATCTTGGTCGTCATCATCATCAACAAATCCTCATCTTCTCCTTCTTCTTCTCCTTCTCCTTCTCCTTCTTCTCCTTCTTATTATTCTTCACCTTCATTATTATGTTCAAAAGTTGTTGTCATTTTCATACTCATCAGTATCATCATCACCATCATCATCAGCAGCAGCAGCACCCTAATGGAATCCAATGGATATATAGCACCAGTGGATCTACCATTAAAATCCAGTGGATCTACCAGTGGAACCCAATGGATTGACCAGCATTGGAATCCAATGGATTGACCACCAATGAATCTACATGATCATCTAGGGGAAAAGTGTCCACTACCAATGATGAGTGCAAAGCCCATCCCTATTCTAATATACACCCTAGATAGATTAGACCTTATTCGCTGTCTGTGATAGGCAGTTGGGAGAATTCCGGGGCGTTCTCGCTGCTGCGGTCCCAGAGACTGAGGCGCAAAAAAACGGCGACCCAAAGGAAAACGGGGCATGCCAGGTCATGCAGACCCTGGTTTGGCACTCTTGCGTTTGACTGCAAGTCTATGGCTCTAAAAGGGCCATGAAGATCCATGAAGCAAAAATAGATTCCTTCTGACAAGCATAGACACCAAACACCTTAGTCACGGTGTCTTTTTGTGCAAAAACCGTGTGCCCAACTTGACGATGCGGTTTTTGCCCCGAAAAACATACCACTGAATCTGAATGGAGAATGGTTAGCGGCACTATGCCAATGCCTCCGTGCCAACGCCAAGTACGTAGCTGGAACTACAACCCGACCAGACCCAGCCTGGACCCCTTCTGTCTGCGGCCTCCTTTTGCCTGAACCCTTGGACAGGAGGGTGCAGCTTGAGCTCTGAAACCCCCGCATGACCGTCATGGTGCAGGGTTTCCATGGGGTTCCTCATCCTCAATCGAAAAATGTCATTGAAATACGAGATGAGAGATTTGCGGCCATGCGCAGCTGAGTGAACTCGATGCGAACTCACACGTCACTTTCACACTTCCATGCCAGGCAGAAAGGCCTTTCTTTAGTCGAAGATTTCTATATAGAAGAATAATTACCGGCAATGACGCTGCACACGTCCTTCGATCCAAGCAAAACAGTCTAAATACCGGCAACTTTGGCCGCAATTTCATCAGCGATCGTCGATGGCCATGAAGAAGAAAACCTCGAAAGGGTCGAAAAGTGAGCGTCGCTCGAAGCGTGGAAAGAAGCACGACGATACATCCAAAAGAACAACATACACGGAGCTTCTGATTCTTCCACTGCTGGGAGTGTGTGGAGGGGAAATTAATGGAAATGACGTACATCCACGACATTCCTTGACATGTTCAAAGAATCTGAGGCGTTGGCTAGACATCCACGACTTCCACGACATCTTGGACCTGCCGAGGTGAAGGCGCAGAGCTACGCTGAAGGAGCGAGGATCACGTGGTCTTGTTTGGGCTTCCAAAAGCGGTTCCGTTTGGGAGGCAAGGTGAGGATCGCAGGTGTGCCGGACGCCCCGGATGTTCCCAAATGGCGGGTGTTCGGAGTTCGGTGATCCAGTGACTTCGTCGGAAGGATGCCCTCAGATTCGACTTTGTCCTAACAACATGAAGCTGAGGAGGGGATCCTTGCAAGGTGATGCACTGAACTCTTGGGTCACGTTGCAGTGCGTCCAACCGGCCAAAAGCGGGTTTTTCTCTGTGCGGGCCAAGCGGTTCTGCGCACACACCTCGACCAATTCTGGATCCATGTGCGGGGCCTGGCCGCGGCGGATCACCGGGGGTGGCGGATCAATGGAAGACCGCCAGGGTATATATGAGTAGCTAAGGACCTTGGGGGGGGTTGGGTGAGGTGAAAATGAAGGAACCAACCCCCCCCAAGGTCCTTAGCTACTACATGACCAGGGCCCAGTGGATGATGGTTCCGCCCACGGTGCAGACCTTTCCACAAACGAGTCATCTGATAAAACGACGGGTCTGTGCTGCGATGTTTTACAATGTTTTACAGCTAAACCTGGGCTCGATGAGACCCATGCCAACCGAAGAATTCTTCCCAAACCGGGGTCAAGGCTCTCCATGGGCGAACCAACCGTCTTTCTCCCACCGCAACTGACGCCGCGTCTATCCCCCCCCCGAGAAACGGGCAAACTGGGCGGGTGAGGCCATGGGGTGCAGGGGGGCAATGAGATGAGAACTTTTGACAATTGATCCATCTGAAATCCATCTGAACCTCACGGCTGGTGGACACTTGATCATCAAATCGACGTGGTGCAAAATGTCTGAAACGAAACCGGCTTCTGCACAGGCTGTGGGGATCGCGATCCAACCAGGAGCATGTTGGAGAATGTCCACCACGAGTGCTCTGTTTTGGTTTGCTTGTCCAAAGGACCGAGGCAGTACAGAAGCACTGCCCTAGATGTCCTTGGAAACAACTGGGTACTAAGTTCGGTAGCACAAGCCCTACAAAACAGGGAGGGCATCGGCATACCCAGTGCGACACAGGCATTTTTAGCCTTATGGACCAGCTGCATGAAGCAAGGTTCCGTTCTGGGTATGCCAATAATAATAATTAAGTTGATCCACATTCACTCTCCTTGCAATCAGAAGCGACTTTACTTCGAGCTATCCCCACCCACCCATCAAATATATACACTGGTTTACAGTAAATTGTTGGGTGGAGGTCGGGGTGACGTGGCAAGGCCTCCGGCCGTGGTTCATTCTACTCTTCCACGACTCTCTTCCACACGTTCTTCCCATCCGCTCCAGCGTCTCCCCGAAGGCTCCGCCTCTGGTGCCCAACGTCTGGACGCATAGTCCAAGGCCGCAGCGTCCTGCCGATCAACGGCCGCGGTCCGGTCCATTGAAGAGATGGATCCCGGGAGTCCAGGAAAATCACTGACTCATTTTACCCCGAACTGGTAGTGGTGGATGATGACTCCCAGATGGAGTCCTTCATGAGTCGGAGCTTCTGGGGATGAGAGCGGGAGGGGCAAAAGAAACGATCTCAATGATGGAGACTCCACTGTTTCAAAGATCTCAGCATGGGTCAGCTGTTTTGGGTCCGGAACCTTCTCTTTTGAAAGGAATGCGAAAGTCGTTTGGCTCATTCACCCTGAGACTATGACAATCCAGTTGATCATCCTTCCATGACGACCTGCTGTGCATCGGTGCATTATATACCACTTCTTCGAGAGGACGAAGGTGACAAATACTGCCAGGCATCGCACCCTTCAGAGACAGAAGTCCTCTTCTCGCTCCCACTCGCGCAGATCGATCTGCAAGAGCTGCTCCTAGCAGGCTGCTAGGTTGGGACTGAGTCTTTCGCGTGTTGCACGAGTGAAGGATGACACAGTGTGTCTTGCTGGATGACAGACAGTGTCGGGGTGCTACGATTCAAGCAGGAATCCCCCTGATTGTCAACCCCCAACTCCACGATATCAAGAACACTGGGTGATTTAAGAGATCGATTCCCTATCCACACAAACAACCTGTATGCATGTCTATTAAAAATACAACACCACTATAACAAACATGGTCAGCCCGGCTGTGTTTCTTCTAAGTGCATGGCAGCATTGGCTCGCTTCACAGGAGTCAAGAAACTGTGTAAAAGACCCCACGAAGCATGTTTCCGCACCATTGTTCTCAGGCTATCAGTGTTTGGCCTGCAACTCTGTCTAAAAAACGAGCTGTTACAGCATGTCAAAGATTGGCAGGTGAGTGCCAGGGGTGTCGGCAGGTGCGTGCCTGATCGTGCCTGTGTGCCTGCTTCAGTCGAATGAGTTGAAAGCATTCCGTCATCACTTGAGGTGCAAAGCATCTTCCGTCTAGCCAGCAACTCCTCAAGCCCCAGGGTTTCAAGTGCTGTTGGGTGCACAAATCGATGACCATGTCCCAGGCAGCCCCGTTGAATCCCAAGCTTGAAAGTAAGGGGAAAAAAAGGCACCCATGTCTTTGTCCAGACGCATTCGTACGCCGGCTGACATGTCACCTGGACCCTGAAAAAACCAGGTACTTGCGTGTCTTAAAGGAAAAAATGTCTGACTCAGGATGCCCATCGGGGTCCATGTTCGTTTGGTGCTTCTTTCGTTGCTAAGCGGATCAAGCGGAGGCCACACCTGGGAGGTGAAGACGCGCAGCATCTCTTCCAGGGCCTAGCGCATTGCCGAACGAAAGAAACACGGTTGGGGGGTGAAGACCGGATCGGTCTTCTGCTGCCATGAAGGCCATGACGAGGACCCACACGTGGACGTGATGTTGCATGAGTTTACAGAATCACTCTTGGATACTCTTGCCTGAATCTGCATGTCTTTCCTCTCTTCTTCTGTCCCCTCACATTCCCTCACATTCCCTCCATCCCTCCTCACCTGAAGGTCACCAGCTAGAACTGCATCAACATGACCTGAGCTCACAGCAACAGACGAAAGCGCCCCACACAGTTGGCCAATCCACCCGCTGGTCAAAAGACCGTTCGTGGACTCCTTTCTGAATACGAAAAAAAAGGGTGGGTGACCTTACAGGACCCGTATCCAACAAAGGTTCAGTGACCGTAAATAGGACCCGTATCCTGGGGTACTCAACTGGATAGTCGAACTAGTGTTCTTCAACCTCTGTTGGTTCTTGGTGTTTTGGCGCCTGCAGGAAGCACCTAGAGTCGACGAAAAGCTTCCAACAACTGCAGCAGGCACGTCCAGCGGCGCAGCGCGTCCCAGCGGCTGTGTTGATGTTTGTTTTCCGCGACGTGCGACGTGCGATCAGGGGGTCTCTAATTAAAATTGGTGGGCCTCGCCATCTATAAAAATTCTGTTGGGGCCACTCTGAGAAGACCATGTTGGCTTTCCCCAGTCATCTGACAACGGCATGGAACTAACAAGGCCTTGCAAGATCAGATTCAATTCATCCTGTCATTTCCATGATTTCTAGAGATAGAGCACCCTAAAATGTGCCTTTTGTTAGGCGAAGACCGGATGGAATATGGCGGGACGAGTGCTTAAATACATGTGGGTGGGTTAGTGTTTTTTTGAGATGTTTTGATGTTCAACCCCTTACTTGGCACAATTGATCCGACTGACTGACATATATTGTTCGTTCCTGCCCTTTTTCAACCGCCGGGACCCCCCACGACTATCTCCAGCCCGACGCCGGGCCGCTTCCGAAGCCCACCGCGCCCAGGATGGCGGCAAACTCCCGCAGCTTGCGCTCCACGTTAGGGTGCTCCGGGCCTCTTAAGGGCTGACCATGTGGGGGTTTTGTGGGTGTTCTCGGTGTGAGAAAAAGGTGGTGGATCCCTGTCTGTTCTCGTCTTGAGACTTTACACCAAGACTTCCCAAGAGGATCGAAGAATGCATCTAAATTCAGACTAACTTGGGGATGAGTCGTTCAACCTGGAACCCGACCAGTCTACCATGTAGCGAACTACCAACACCAGGTAAGTCAACTAAGGTAGCCTGGTGCCATGACCCACGGCCATATCTAAGTACTTCGGTAGTCAACGTGGATTCCTGCCCAAGTGGGACACTGGAAGTCAGTACTTCGCCATCACAAGAGCAAGGTCAAACAAAAGCACTGGTAAGCCGGGGTGTGTGTGTGTGTGTATATATATATTGTTGGCTTCCAAAATGTCTTTTCCCAAAATGGTGCACTCATCGCAATTCCATGGGGGCCCGCTTCTAAGTCTCCTTGAAACTCCAAGCACACTCAAACCAACAGGGACGTTAAACATGAAGGCGTGTCAACTGCAAAAACTGTGAGAGGTGTCTAGCGGCGACCTTTTCAGGGGCCTGTTGAGCTGCTGGAGCTGTTGTTGCTGCTACTGCTGCTGCTGCTGGACTTTCCCATTGTTGTTCTCTAAGAGCTGACTCAAAAGATTTGGATGTTGGATAGGCAAATGGTCAAGAAATGGACCGTCGTCTAGCGCGGTGCTAGCGCGGATCTAGCGCAAAAATATCCGTCGATTTCTTTATCCTGTCAGATTCTGATGTTTCCTGCTTGCTTGTCTTCTTCTTCTTGTTGTGCATTCTTCTTCTTCTTCTTCTTCCTTTATTTCTGTATTTCTTTATTTCGTTCTTTCTTTCTTTCTTTCTTTCTTTCTTTCTTTCTTTCTTTCTTTC